TGGGGAATTCTGGGAGTCGAAGTCCATACGTCTTCAAGTCAACAAGGTTGAGGAACCCTGGGTTAGAGGACAGAAGAATGTAAGCCATGCCCTGCTGGATCGGACCCCTGGACCATCTAGTTCAGTCTCCTAGCAGATGGCCTTCATAGGCACTCCCATTGCAATCAAGGTTAAGAACCATTGACCCATGACACCTCTGCCACCCTATTCCTCACATGTGGCCTGGACAAGGCGAAGGTCTGCCCAGGTTTGGGGTTCGGTATCTGCTGCTGGAAATCTCTGGCAGCGTCTAAATCAAATAAATAAATGAATAGATCTGCTTACCACAAGTTTATCCCGAAGGAATCTCATGTTAGGCACGCGGTAGTTGACCTGGGGCAGCATGGCCTTCAGATCTTTGGGGCTGATGCTGCAACACAGAGAAAAGTTGTATGTGCATTCAGTCCTGCACAAAGACGTGTGATCACACCCCCACCTGGGTTGCTTACTTCTTTCCCTTTCCCCTCAGAACTCAAGAAGGAGTTCTCCTCATTTTATCCTTACAATAACCCTACATGGCAGGGCAAGAGAGAGAAATCCTGGCCCATAGTTGCACACCACTCTTCATGGTGGGTGAGGACCTGAACACAGGTCTTGTCCCCATCCAACACGTCCGAGACTGCACTACACTACTCAAAGCAAATAAGCTTTTGGGGGACTACAGGGCCAACACCACACAACTGATTCTGCAGATTTTTTTTTTAATAAGGTTTTTCTATACCAGTGTTTCCCAATCTCTGCAACTTTAGGATGTGTGGATTTCGACTCTCAGAATTCCCCAGCCATTCTGGGAGTTGAAGTTCACATATCTGAAAGTTGCAGAGATTGGGAAACACTGGTCTATATATTTGCCCCAGATCCCAAACAACAGACAGGGACTAGAATTTGTGGTTTGGAGAACTTTGGACAGTTGCGAATAATATTCCCCTGACAGACGGACACTTGGACAGAGACCCCTTCTTCGGTTATCTTCCTCTAATCCAGGATTCCTCAACCTTGGCAAGGGTGGCTGGGGAATTCTGGGGGTTGAAGTCCACCCATCTTAAAGTTGCCAAGGTTGAGGAACCCTGCTCTAATCCACCTCCGCTGGGACTAAGCTGTTGTTCTTGGCTGGAGGCAGCAGGGGGCAGCAGGAGATCCCCACCACCACCACCACCACCGCCCCCCAACTCCCCGATCTCCTGCAACTCCATCCTGCCTGTTTTGGATAAGCTCAGCCACTACTTTGTGGATTACAAACTGGGTGTGCTCTCCTACGAAAAGGGCTCTGAACCTTTCCGTGAGGCCTTTCCCTATGGTTGGTTCAACCGCGCAGCCAGCGCTGCAAACCGAGAGCTAAACTGCTGGACAGGACATGCCGGGTGTGTGTTGGTGGGGTGTCTGTTCACAGGGTGCACACCAGCCCCCCTCCTTGAGCATCTCATGAATAATGCAGGAAGCCCAAGACCTGGCTGCACTCTGCGGAAGGCAAAGGGCATGGAGCCCTTTCAGATGGGGAGGGAGGGGCAGGAAGAGAACCCAGGAAGCAGCAGCAGCAACAGGTAAGCCTACCTGAGACTTTTAATCACAGGGCAATCCAGGCCAGGAAAGGTGGGGCTGTTTTCTGCCAAACAGCCTTGTCTGTGCAAACACATCTGTCCCGGGACTCCCGCCTGGAGTTGACTCCACAACAGGCACGTGAGCGTGCTCCGTGTGTATTTTTCATTTGGGACCCACCTTGAAGGCCACCTACTTCAACCCTGCACCCTCCAGATTTGCTGGGACAGCTCCCCCAGGTCCTCAATAAAAGGGAGGGTTCTGCAGCCAAGAGCAGGGTTGGCGGGTGCTTCGTGTTCGCTGATCTTGGCTGTTTTCCTGCAGATGTTTTGCTACCAGGCCAGGCCACCTCATGAGTTGCACGACACACACAAAGAACAGGTAGAGATTCAAGAGGGCCGTTGTGGTCACTCTCTTGATTTTTTGGGCCACACCCTGCAGGCACCCCCGAGACTTTGCTTCGTAAGTTGCACTGCCCAAGCTGACGCTTCTAACGTAATTCTTGAGACCGGGCCAGGTTGAATTCCAAACTGGATTAAGGCGTTCTGATTGGACCAAGCAGCGCTGACCGTCTTTTAATAGAAGTATTCTACTGGGACTTAAAACAACATCCTCTGATTGATATAACACCAGGAACCTTTGTGCCTTGAACGAATCCCCTTGGCCAGGGGGTTAAAATGAGCAGTTGATTAAAAGAATGTGAACAAGATTAAAGTGAGTTAAAAATTAACCCTCTGGGAAACGAAAAGCAGCCCCATGACTTCTTTTTTGCTAAGTACTCTCTGTGGATGAAAGCACATTTTCACCATAGTTTGAAGGTGCTACTCTGTGCCGTATCTTTGGCTGAAAAATAAAACTCCTGGACCCCCGCTCTCTCCTTGTCCGGCTCCACATCGTGCTCCACACCCATTTCCTCCTCCCTTTCCTATCCCACATCCTGTTTATGGCTTGTTGGCACGGGGGCGGGGGATGCCCAGTCAGTACTCCCCCTTCCTACTGTGACATGCCTTGGCCTTTTCCCACTTCCTTCCGAAGTCTTTGGTTAAGTCCTTTAATTGATCAATTAAATGTTCACGCTCAGGGAAAGAACGTAAGTGCAGCAAAAGGACTGTCCTTAGTGGTTCAGAAATAGAGGGGACAATATGAGGAAACCAGCCATAATGATCTCCTGAACAAGAACAACTGAATATGTATGCTTGCATCCAAGAGAGGCTGCCTGAAGGTTGGAGACAGGCGAGATGTATCACGAGCAAGGCTGAACAGAGGTGGGTGGCTGGGGAAGGAAGGGAGGTCCTTGCAAAGCAGGGAAGATCTGATCCTCAGGCAGAAGCTGCAACCTCAGGCTGGTCAGAGCCTACTTTTCATTGAGATCCCAAACCAAGTGCTGAGGGCCACACAGGAAGGCTCTCCCAAACCCCCAAAAACAGAGGACCAATATGCCTGGTCAACAGCTAGAACACTCTTCCCTGATCTGGTGTCCTCCAGATGTCAAAGAGCAGGAGTCTCTTCCATTGCTGGGGAACTCAAAAAGTGCTTTCCAACGTTTTGGTGGTTCCTTCATTTGTTGGATTTACACCTGGCCTTTTCTCTGGGTGTTCAAGGTGGGGAACACAGGAGCATGCCCTAATTTTATTCCCTACAACAACCACCTCATGAGGTAGGTGGGGCTGAAAGCAAGAGACCAGTCCAAGTTATCCAGGAGCTCCAGGGCTGAGTGGGGACTTAAACCTGGGTATTTCCACCCCATGTCTAACACCTTAGCTCTTACACCACACGAGCTGTTATTTGAGCCCATTGATTTGTGTACTGCCTTCTACAGCAATAGAAGACAAATCTGTTCTATCCAAGCAATCATGCTTCAGATACGTAAAAAGACCATCACATCACATCTTGTCCATACAAAGTGGCTTCTAGATTCCTCCCTCACTTTAATTGTCCCATTCTGGATATGTTCCATTTTGTCAAAATCCCCCTATGGGAGGTGGGGAAATCGGACCATATCTGAACAGGGCAATCACACACTTTCCCGGCAATCTGGGCACTGAATTTCTGTTGATGAAGCCTTGCAGGGTGCATTTCTGGCTCCCATTTAGCTTATGATCTACTAGAGATACTTGCAATATCCTTCACCATTGATTGAAGGGAAGGTTGCAGTCCTGTGAAGTGCTGCACCCTGCTCAAGGACAGAAAAAGGGAAGGGGAAAACACCTAGGGAGCACCAGCTCCTCCCTGGAGGCCTTTGTGGTCTTCAGAGAGAAAACCGTCCACTCTACTCACCTTCCTTCTCTAGATCTGTCCATTGAATCAAACTGCTTCCTCAACCATCTGAAGAAAGATAAAAGAGGTGTAAGTTTTAGAAAGGATACATAGGCAACAAAATTATCCCATGGAAAACAAGGTGTGATATCAAGTCTCCTTAGGGAAATTTATTCTTGGCTGGAGTTAACAGGTGGGTGCTTCTAAGGTGGGGGGGAGTCACTGCTGTCATTGCTCTCCTGAAGGACATGATACAATTCTGCTGTGAAGGATTTCAGACATTGTCTTCTCCTCCTCCTGAACATAGAAGCATAAGCTTTGACTTGCTGGACCAAACCAGAGCAGGGGCTACAAAAACCAAAAAGTTGAGAGTGGGCTATTATCTAAGGAAAACCTTCCAGGTGGTTTGATCTGTCCAACAGTGACCAGTTTACTTATGGAGGCCAAACTCTGTAAGAAGAGCCTGGACAACCATTTCTTGTAGATGGTTTAACTGATTTTCCTGCACATTGCAGAGGGTTGGACTAGATGATCCTTGTGATCCCTTCCAACTCTACAATTCTATGTTTCTATTAGTGCGTGGAATCTGAGGCTCAGCTCCATGCAAGAGATACAGAACTAGAAAGGAAGCCCAAGACATTTTGCAGGTGGCCAACCAGAAAGTGACACCCCTCCCCAATCTAACTCCAAAAGCCAACCCAAGCAATAAATTACGTACTCTAACTTTGCAATGGGACAAGTTCTCCATCACCCTTGAAGATAGCAGTAGCTTCAATACAAGCCAGGCAGCAACCAATATACTGCCTTCTGCTCTCCATCTAACCTCAGGATCTGCTGTGGAAGCAGCTGTTTCTCTTTGACTAATGGTAGGGCCAACAGTGACCTTATTTAGGGTTTTGCATGAAGGTTCCTTCTTCTCTCAAAAATTAGCTTTGTTTATGTGAAGCTCCTTAGTGGAGAAGGATGGACCATTTCCTCCCTGGAAAAATTCACTTTGGGGAGGAACAGCAAGACTGTTATTTGGTCTATCTCAGCCTGGGGACAGGAGAGAACACACACAGTGCTAAGCTGATGCCAAGGATGTGAAAGGCAGGCTGGAGCCTTTTAATCCATTCAGGGCGTGTTCATACCAGGAAAGGCCTGGAGTGACTGGAAGGGGATCATTTGCTACAAATTCTGTGTCATTCATGCTCTGCCCACATTTTCTCCTGTTCCCCCACACCTTTCAATTTGGAGTGGAGTCTGTGATCGCTGCGTATCTGCCACCAGCCAGTTCAGCCCGGCCACCCAGAGAGTCACATCATCCTCGCAAAAAGCTGAAAAAGAAAAGATAACCAAAGGATATGAAGGACAATAGATGGATGAACTTATCTAGGAGATCCTGGCCGAAAGGAAAGGCTCTCAGAAGCCTCATCTTGGCCAGAGCTTTAGACCTTGTTCCTCACACTCAATGTCTACTGCATGTCCGGGTTCATGCAACAAGATAAACCCGTACCCTGGATTAACCAAATCCCATTCCTACATTCACATATCCTGGGATGTCCCAACAAATACACCACTCGATGGCTTAATGTGTCAGGCCTGGTTCCCATAACAGACTGAACTGTTCCAGCCACTAGTCTAGCGTGTTGTAAGAAACTACCTAGCCTTCATCATTTATCCCTTCAGCCACAATCTCTTCCTAATCTGGTGGTTTTATCAAAAAGTTTAAAAAAATCTGCTACTGCCAAGTAAGAGAGAGTGCAAAGAAGATCAGGTCGAAATATGTTGCCTTCCTCCTGCTTTTCATTTAAGCTCTTGGAAAGGAGGCCCATGCTAAGAGGTTGGTCAGGAAGAAGAAATAACAACCCAGCTCTAAACAGGAGTTATAAGCCAAAATCTTAGGTCATTCCCACTTCCTTAGGATGGTAGGAAATGTATTTCAGAAGCTTCTTCCATAATTGATTTGATTGTGCATTATCTTTTGTTCATAGCTCAGAGTTCCACTGTGAGATGGATGGCTATATAAACGTAGATTCTGTTACAGAATTCCATAAATTTTATCAGACATAAAAGCTGAATGGGCAAAAAGTCACATGGCCCTGATCAATACTGCCACTTTGGTGAATTGAAATAGTTCTCTGTTTTAACAAAATGATGGTTTCTACATTATCCCAAACTTCGTCCCACTCTTGTCACAGATGCAAACATGTTCATACATGAGATATTCCCATCACGCCGTTCCCTTTGGGGTAAGCAATGTTACGCAGAGCACAGAAAGGAGGAAGAAACAGTAAGCCAAGTAATTAAAGACATGAAATAAGCAAAAAAGGAACATGGGCATATCTAGTTCATACCAACTCCATCCAGTGTCTCTCTCTCCATCCTTCCCCAACCCTCCTTGCTGCCACCACGTCCATCCACCACTTCATATGTAGACTTTCGTTGTCTGAACTTCTCGCCTCTCTCTCTTTGTGGAACTCATCAACTCCATCCAGCCACAACTTCCTTGTTCTTCCCCTTCCACTCAATCCATTAACTCTTCCTTCATGTATTTGTTTCGTAATTCAGTCCTCATTCAGCCTTTCTATATGACCACATGGCCTTAATGTATTTCTTTTATGCCACTCACTTAGTTCTGTATTAAGTCCACATTCGTTCAGGACCCATTTAGTCTTGACCCTCTTCTCATTTTAGTTCACCCATTTCTCACACACTTTGTTCCTCTTGCTTTCCTCTGACTTTCTACTTCTCTGAGGTGCCCAGCTGTCACTTCCATCTAACACACTGGGCAGAAACATGCTTCCATCTATAGCCATTTTCACTTCTTTAAACAAGCATTCATTCCTTGTAACAAATGAAATACTACCCACTATCTTTCTACCAGCATGTGCACATTCTAAAATTTCTCCATCCATTTTCAGCGCTTCCCACTCCAATTTCATGGAGATGATTCAGAAAGTACCAGGCTTGATGGTATCAAAAGCGGCTGAGAGATCAAAGAGGACTGGGAGGGTTGTACTTCCCCAATGTCTTTCCAACAAGCATTCACAAGTACAACCAGTGCAGTTTCATGCTTGGCCCTGGCATATAGCTTGAACTGCCAAGGTTCCAAATAATCCAGTTCTTCTAGGGCTGCAGGGCTATCACTTTCTCTACCACCTGCCCTAGGAAGCAAAGGCTGAAGGTAAGTCTAAAATTATCCAAAATACTCAGGTCAAGCAAAGGCTTCTTGAACAGTGGGAGCCCCATAGCCCCTTTTAGAGGTAATGGACTCTCTCCCCAAAGAAATGTTGCTTAATGCTTGAATCCAACCTCCTGTCATCTCATGAGAGGCCTCCACCAACCATGAGGGGCAGGATCCAACTGGGAGGTGGTGGGGCTGACCCTGCAGAGAGGCCTATCCATTTTCACAGGACTCAGAGATTCAAACTGATCCCAGATCACTTCACAAGACAAAGCCCTAGTCATCTCCATTGACACTGTCTAGCTGGAGTTCAACTCTGTTCAAATCTGAACCGTTTTCTCTGTCAACCAACAAGAACGGCCTCCAGATGTTCTTAGCTATTGAGTTGCCTTAAAAAGGGGCTGCTGAGCAGCATTCAGCAGACACAATAAGAGAGGCAAAACAGTTCCCTTTTGCCACTCAGACCACCACTGCGTAGGCTTGAACATGAGTTCCTACCAGTGTCAGTCAGATCTGAGATGGGCTGCAAATTCTCACCCAACGGTCACCATTTAATTTGTTCCTGGGTCTCTGAATGGTACAATCTATTTTTCTATACTCCCTTGTCTCATTTCCACCTATCCACTCATGACACCCAACAGAAAAATGTTGGGTCCTGGTTGCATTCATTTAGAATGTTGTACAATTTGCCCCAAGATCAGACCTTCATTCAGATTTATCACATCTTTCCCTTTCTTTTAGTTTCATGAACATGCAGCTTATCTATGTTTCTTTCATTCTTTCTGGGTGTCAATTTTATCTTATTCTTTACCATCTGCTCCTCTTACATTCCAAGTCACAAACCTCTATACGCCATGGTCATCGCCAGATGAGTCCATAAGTATTGACCATCAAAGTTTTGCTCTAACACCTTTAATTAAGATAGAGTAGATGTAGGGTACCAGACTTAGTTGAACCCAAGCCATATGTAGTGTTCCCTGTTGATGGTAAGGACAGTTTGAATGAATGCCACAGATACAACCAAAGCTGGGTTTCATATTACTCTATGCAAGCTAGGATCTCTAATCCAGAGACTACCTTACAAGGAGACCTGCTGTTGTCTGTCTTCCAAGGGGATTTCTGCAATGCGCTCTACATGAGGCTGCCCTTGAAGGCCATCCAGAACCTACAACTGGTCCAGAACGCAATGGCTCAAGTAATATAAGTACATCTTAACATACCCATATAACATCACTACTCTGCAAGTTGCACTGTAGGATCCAGTACAATCCAACAGGTCATCACCTACAAAGCCCTACATGGCTGGGTTATTTGTGGGAGTGCCTAACTCTGGTTAGTGCTGCCTGTCCTGCAAAGTCACATAGGGTGAGCATGCTCCGAGTTCCCTCATTAAAGCAGTGTCATCTAAAGGCACCTGGGAGACATACCTTTTCTATGCACAAGTTCCACACCAAGGTTAGGGTAACCCCAACCCAATTAGGCTTTCATAGACTCGTGAGGACTTGGCGCTTCTCTCCTGCCTTGGACCAAGATGCTGGACAAGCTCCTTCCGTTGTGAGAGCGAGCATGTGTTATACCTAGCCATGGCTATGTGTTCATGTATTATTGTGATTTGTTATATTGTATTTTGGGAAAGTTGCTTTTTTTAGTTTTTTAATCAATGTATGTTGTCCAGAGTCACAATTTGTGAGTGGGGAGGCCTTACAAGTTCTCTAAATAAATGCATCAATAAATACATTCTACCAACTATGCAGCACACAGACACAAACATTTATTTTCAGATGAATTCAATCTTTTTTTTTTTTTTTAACAAAGGAAAAGAGGACTATCTTGTAGGGGAAAAACCGGATAGAACTTTGCATTCTGCCTCAAAAACAATGCCGTAAAACTGCAGTCAGGTGCACCACACCCCTCCACGTTGTGTTAGTCACAAGTTTATTTGTATTGGCTGGAAGCCACAGAGAGCCACACAGACCTTGCCAAGATCAGATTCAAGTTTTGAAGCAAATCAGAATAAGAACTACGAATCTAAAGTTTGAGATTAAACAATTGATAAAAAACAAGCTAATGAAATCCTATTTCCTAAAATATTAGAACAAATAAGCAGAACTGGATATCCAAATAAGGTCCCTGTAAAAGGTGTGTAGGTCTCTCGGCTAGTTCTGCACCTCTGCTGACTGAGAAAGGCACAAATCTATCCCTCCTCCTGAAAAGGCTCCTGTTCTGTTAGGACCCCAAGGGGCTGTCTGGGGATAAGGGAGGCCTACTCCCAACATAACCTGTCCCACAAATACATCAGCAACATTTTAGACACCTCTTGAGCTGGTGGCCTTCTGAAACGTTTATTTAACGCTGTTTGGAATCTTGGAATCTTAGTACCAACCAAGCTTCTCTTTGCTCAGATATCTGCCAGAGGATGACATCTTCATTTGGTGCCTTCAGAGGGTGGGACTACAGAAAATTCTGGGAATTGTAGTCCCAGGACATCTAGAGGGCCCCAGGTTGGGAAGCCTGGAGTAACATTTTCTGGTGTTCAAGGTGATACCCAAGTAACATATCTAACAACCCTATAAGGTATACAGGCATCTCTCATACTGCAGGTAGAACATTTCATCTAATATCAAATACAGGACAATATGAAGTAGAAAAGACATGGAAGTGGCAAATGTTCTTGGAATCTTGTATGGTCTTAGGTATGTAAAGTCACCTCTGAATTAAGGATTTACGGCCCGCAAGAAGATGCAGGGAAATTTGCAGCTATATCATCAAGATATAGCTTTCAATTCTCCAAAGTTATTCTGATCTGAAGTCATTCTGATCTGATAATTGACTAAAACTTACTTTCCCATTTCCTGGGATTCCATTTTTTTTATCAAAGCAAAACCAAAAATTCATAATCGGGTGATCAGTGTTGGCATGTACCAAAGACAATGCTATACCCATCCTATTCAACCCCTTATGTGGCTATGGGGCCAGTATGCAAAATCCAAAATGGTCACAGAAAGAGAGTGCCTAGAAAAGCATTGCTTTTACAGGGCTTCTCTAGGACTTTATCTCCATTGTAGAAGAGGAGTTAGTTTAACTCTTTACACAACCCAGATCTGTTCGGGGTTACTTCTACCCCCGTGAGAATTCATTGGCTCGCTTTTCCTGCTTGCCAGAAACATTCACCTCATTTCAAGATTCAGTGAATCATGATTCTCTGTAAATGTTTTGCTCAAGAATGATTGCAGAGCAAAATAATTCTCAAATCCCACAAAATCTTGACTTGCTAAGGAACATGTCTGGCTGCTGACCGGTGCTGCTCTTTAAACCTCAGTGCATTTAGGAACTTGGCTCTAGAGAAGTTTGTGGTCACTTCTTTCTGCTGAATGCATGGGAACATGCAGATAACATTTTCAAAGCAAACTACAGGAGGATTAATAGGGCCAACTCATCACTGTAAAAATACTGGAAGATTTATTATAGGGAAATGAAAGACATAAGAGGACTATGAACTGCAAAACTTTATGCTATAATAAATATGTTAGTCTGTTCTAGGTGTCACAAAACTATAGTTAACATGAAGAATAACAGAGATATGTAGAGAGGGCCAGTCTCTCTTCCACTAACACTGGCCGCCCCCAACAAACTTGGGAGTAATCTAAGAATGTGATAAAAACCTATTACTAGCAGAGGTAATCTGTAATCTATGTTACTTTGAGCAGGATGTAATCAAAGACAGTGTATATTTATTTAACTAAAAACAGCAATTAGATCAGGAAAGGTTGCAACCTATTCCAGAATTACATCAAGCCAGTCTTCCCCAACTGATGTGTTCCAGATGTGTAGTGATAACTCCCAACATTTGCTATCTCAACTCATCAAGGAGCACCAGGTTGGGAAAGAATGTTCTAGGCATTGTCTTAATTTTGGCATTAATGGCTATTTTTGCATAATGGATCTTTCCTCATATTCTGACAGCACAGAGCCATGAGGGACTTCATCCTCTTGTCTTTACATTATGTTTTTGTTCTGCCCACTTGCTGCAAAGGAGGCTGTGATGTTCCTCCAAACTTCCTGAGACCCCCTCCCCACCACAGTGAAAATAATAAGAAAGAGAAGTCTGGTGATCTGATGGTAGCACCCCCGCAACATAGGATGGACTATACCAGCCCCATCCATTTCTAATCCCTTTTAACACCTAACTCGTGTGGCTGCAGAGCAATCAAAATGGAGGCAGCCACAGAGCTAAGATCTAGACCAGGGTTCCTCAACCTTGGCAACTTTAAGACGGGTGGACTTCAACTCCCAGAATTCCCCAGCCA